AAGATGATTTGAGAGCCACCTGCCTGAAAAGGGCCAGCTTGCCCTGCTCCTCCCTTGGGTAGCTGCTGAGTTTGCCTCCTCCTTCAGTGAGCTGGGTCTGCTCAAAAACACCGGCAAAAAGCCCTGCATTCCTATGGTCAGCACTCTGCTGGCTTAACAGCTTGCCTTGGCTCTCTAAAGATGTTCACATGTGGCAGAGCCGGGACCGCCTTTTAGGTGGTGGAGCTGGATTGTAAAATGGGCTCGGTTTTTTCCCCGAAACCTCACCGCCGAGGCTGTTGGAGTTGGCTCCCGTTGAGTGGGGAGCCCCAAGAACAATACGCGCTCTCTGCCCTGTGTTTCGCCGGGGCACGTTGTGTTTGTGTTTAAAGGAGAACCGCAACCGGGAGTGATGGTTCTGTTGAGCAGAAGAGCACTATTTCCCCCCATCGCTATCACAGAGGGTAAAATGAATGTCTTGATGACTTTGGCATCGCACAAGAATGCTTAAAAAACCATTTGTTTTTCAGCTGGTCCTTTGACAGCAGCGCAGGCACTCAGCATTCAGGCCACGGCATCATGTTACTGTTGTCTGTATTCTCCAAGGTCAGACTGAATCCTTGCCTCTAACCATAAAAAAAAAAAAAAGGCAAAAATAAAAGGAGACAGCAGAGGTGCTGAGGAAGAAGGAGAGGAAGATGCATGTAGATGTCACCAGCAGCGCGTTTGGCTGCTGGCCTCATCTCTTTGGAAGCCTGTGGACCTCCCAGCCTTTCAGTCTCACATGCTCCTTTTTTCTTCATTGGCTTCGGCGCTGGGGCTGTATTTAAATGAAGAGCAAAGCAATGTGAAATCTCTGTGTTTTCATCGTTTTCCAATGCTGGGTGGTCCTGTAGACGTTCAAAGCCCGAGTGCTGTAGCGTTCTCCCACCTGCTGGGTGAGGTTAATGGATCTAGCGGTAGGGACCCTGTTGATACCTGCTGAGTTCACAGCATGCACCAGACTCCAGCAGCCTGCTTCATGTTGCACCTTCTCTGTTGTACTTCTCTGGTTTCGGAAGTTAATTAGCCTTTTTGTTTTTCTCTCCTTTACAGTTCCCTTCTAGGAGCGTGTCCTGTTCAAAATATCATTTCATTTTTCCTCATCCCTCATATGAAGCAGTGTTCAAAAGGAAGGCAGCACTGATGTGAATTGAGTCACTTCGTACAATAATGGCAAAAATATGGCATATAAATAATCCTGAGTTGT